CTCAGTTCGGCTATTACTACTGGAAAGACAAAGATGGAAGTATGGGCCACCGGCCCGGAACAAATCCAAAGGCTAGAGGAGCCTAGAAGATGAGTAGCGAATGAGTATTTCCTGACAGGATGCGCATCTTGAACCAAAATTGGCATTTCCTTGCTTGGAAAGACTGCTTGGGATAATATTCTCAAACACCTCAGGCACTACTAAAACAACCATCGTTCTGTGCACCAAACAGATTAAACTGAGAGCCGTGAGACAAATAATTAGATCAGAAGTCTTGTAGATTCGAACGGACTGAAAGTTTCAAAATGAAATCAGTTGTTTCTTGAAACCTGCATGCAGCGTAATGGATGACACCTTGTATGTACCTTTCATAAATTAAGTTCTAACATTGGAAGGGATGAAACGGTTTTCGGACTTTTAGAGACAAGTGCTACGGAGATGGCATGTATTAATCTGACCGTCTCAACATGGATGAAAACACTCCTGGTTTGGAGAAACCTATGGGAGCTGTATTCATCGAGTGATACAGACGACCATAGTTTGGAGATTTACGTAGAATTGTGGTTGTTTTCATTGTCACCTTGTAGTTCACCGATTGTCAAGCACCCTCTAATTACGTGCTTGGATCATAACTGCGCTGGGTTTGCCATCAGACTGGAGGTGCCCTTCACATATCACTAGTAAATGTTAACTTTATTCAAGCCCCAATGAATGATTCGTTTCACATGGGAGCCACCGATACGCTATATACTATTTAGGCAAAACTTTCATTGTATGCAGTTTGCTCTTTCCAGCGGCTTCAACAACGGTAGTCAACATGTTCACAATAAACCGTCGCGAATCGATCCAGAATGTTTTCCCAGACCAAAACCCACAACGAAGAAATCGTATGTACCACCGCTTTCGGTTACTTCCATTGGTATAATTCAATTTCTCCCAAATTCAATTGCGTATCCGTAAATTCCTCCCCAAAATTTGAGCCGCTTTGCGCACGGTCAGACGTTCCAAGTACCGCCAATTTAACTGTCGACTGATGACTACAGTGTCCTAGGTTAAATGTATCAGTTTGAGTTTACTACTTCACCTATCCAAGGGTTCAGTGCCAACCATGGACAACCATGAATCGATGAGCCACGCGATCACCTTTTTCTCGCGCGCCTCCAGCCCGAATTCCCATACTAGTGACAAAATTGAACTGCACACAGTCATGAGTATAAGCTTAAATAACATCCAGTTTCAACGTCTATGACAAAACCAATATTCTCGTACCACTTTTTTCCGCATTGAGTGCAGTCGTTCCTAGTCCCCAAGGATTTTAAAGAATGGCCTCCATCACAAATATCTGTCGTGGTTTCGAAAATTTTCAGTCTAATTTTACCGTAAAAGTTAGATGGATTGCTTTAAACGGTGCGAGCACAACCTAAAAAAACAGCCCAAATCAAATCTAATCTAATCTAATCGTTCAGTTGCACTCTTTCAGTAGCCAGACCACCCTAAGAAGCACGACGACTGAGATACTGTTAGAGTGCCCAAGTCTAGACAGGAGCAGTGGAGATGCTGAGATCCACAGACCTTCCTGTCAGTGAGTTCGCGTCTTAATCACTGAGCTACCTCGAGCTCTGATGTGAGCAAGACTCTCCTATACGGTACTCTGCGTAATCCGGATGCTCACAGCAAGAATTGTCTTGGCCGACCTCAGAGAGTTTGGATCTAGCTCAGATCGAGACTTTTGTGGAGTACTAGTTTTCCTGAGGTTATGGATCGATGTCTTTTGCTGCTGAGGGGCAATAAAATAGTTGAAGTATGTGTGATGAAATTAAGTGACATACCTCATAAGGAACGACAACTCTGAATTGCAGCTCTCCATTGATAGCCAATTTCCACATGGACGCCCTGTATCTACATTGGATTTATATTCGGTGGTCGCCAGGTTACACGATGCAACCGTTTATACTGAAAATTATTACTGATTTGTAAGCACTAGAGAAATGAGTTTGACCTGTGCAGCAAACATATACTTCGAATCACGCCTCCGCAAGAAGCCGCCGGTAAGCTGGGGTGAGGACAACAGTCATTATATCTTACCTGACGAGTCTTCTCTGCATAGGAAGTAGTCTCCTAGAGCAAATGCAGACAATCGGTATACACACCGTTTATTGTGTCGTGTGGTAGTGACTGACCGTTTGAGACAGCGTCTTCTCTATCCATCCCACAGTGCATGTTGTGTTCACATTTATCGTCTAGTTGCAGAGGCAAAACATGTGGATTATATACAGTAAAGAACAGGAAAAACGTTGGGGAGAAACTGATTTCTCTCTCCCACAAGTTACCTGATTAATGTCACGGTTGTGACTGACTCGAAAATCCGCCTCATTTGTCTACAGGACACTGATTTAGTCCGGAAGCGCGCAAGGTGGGACGTAGATGCTCAGTTCTTCACGTGGCTACACATATCGGATACGTTTGGAGCAGTGACATCAATCACTGAGACCCATTTGTCTTTCGACTGTACTGGATCATACGCAAGCAATCAGGTTCAGCTGCTGGGTACTCGGGGTGCGCAGGTTTTAACGCCGACAGTTACCATCAGCTCGGACCCCATTAATATGGGAATACTGTTAATACGTGGGCAACGTGTTGCTGTATTTACATTCCTGTCGTAGAGGACGGTGGACTTAGACCTTAGACGACTAGCTGCAGTAAGGGAACTAGTTGTTGTTCGCGTGGACACATCTCTGTAGTCCCTTCGGCTTGTTGAGGGACGAAATTAATCGAAGCACGCAAGCTCACGCCAAGGTGGCATCTACAAGTCGAACTGACTGAATGGTTTTTAGGCAACTAGGCAACCGTAAACTAGAGTAAGATAGACTCACTAAAATACAAAACGTTCTATTGTGTATGCAGCGTCATAACGTGAACGGTTGTATACATACTACGTGCTACGGACTTGACACCAGCTTCAGACTGATAGTTTGCGACTGCGAAAGCGCATTATAGTCCTGATTGAGACACACGAACGTGGATCGATGCTAATTTCAAACGGGATATCTGCTCAGATCCCTGTGTAAGGTTGGTGACTGTGGTCCATCTACTCGAATAAGCCAAAAACAGATTAGAAATACATGCCATGAGTAGGTTCTTACCGAACAGTCATATATTCAGATTTAGTAATTGAACAATTGAGTTACAAACGTTCATATGACAATCTAAACGTAAATTTGCATCACCGTGCAAGCCAAAACTGAATACTTGGGTGGCCCTCTGTGGAAAATATCGAGTGTTCGAAGCACTTGCAGCAGTCTTAACCATTGTGCACCTCTTCCAAACAGTGCACAAGGTAGAACCATCCTTTGGAAAATGTTGAGCGTTAAGTGTGTCTATGAGATGGGACTAGAAGCAGTGCAGGGCACCGGTATTAAATATGAGAAAGCTTTTTCAGTGAATTTTACCCACCGCAGCGATGTAATTTGGGAGCTGGTAGGTGCACCCTTCGAAACTTTAGGTACATTTCGGCATCTCGAACCACTGAGACATCCCGCGTGAATTTGAGTGGGAAATCTTAGTACGCCACAGGATCGAAATCGGACATGAGTACATGATCTCCGACCCCTCCATTCTGGCCAGATTATAAGAGGACAAGCAATACTGGCGAGCTTCATTGGTGCCGGTTCGCGTGCATTATCAATAAAAGCGAGGTTGAGTATCAGAGCAGTTGGCAGGGAATCACACTAAACTGACGCCACCCATTTGCAAGGCCATAGTGCAGACCGCGAATTCGGAGGCCAACCGGTGATCAGGAACGGAAAAGTAGTGAAACCCAGTAACACTGACATGAGTTACAGGGTCGTGAAGCTAACACCTCGCTCGTCTAACTACCACGGCTTTGTAGTGTTACAGGCCTAAAACATCAGGGCGCACATCAATCATCCGTACCAGCAAATCTATCCTAGCATCCTCTTTGTCCGCTTGTTAACCATAAAGTCAAGTAGGACCGCGTCAAGAAAAGAACTTTATACACCGGAAAAACGTGATTGGCTAGTTATCTTGTGATTTTATCCTTCACTTCATTGCCTCTCTGCCTCTTCCAAGTAACGTTTGTGTTCTTCAAGAAGTAGTTTCGGCTCCATGTAATGCTACATGGATGGTCCTTGAGTTGTCCACGCAGCCAAACTCTTTAAATAGGCCCACGACTTCGTTTCTCTGTTATATTTCCCTACCATCCGACACTGGTCATCTTGACAGATCTTTATTTGACGCACCCCCGCCAGCTTCTAAATAAACCCACAACGTAACTCCTCCAAATGCGCAAAACTGTCGTTTTCGATCCGTTCTGTCGTCGTCCCTCCTACAACAGATCCTGCAAAGCGTCCGCGCAAATGCGTTTATCTATTCTTTGACCCTAACTTCTCCAGCTATCCAGGATTGAGTTCCTCCTCCACCTTGATTTGGGCTACTCACGTTAGAACAATCTCCTCTCCCTCTACAAAGAACCTGGGCCAACTTAATCTTGCCGATTTCACCGTTTTTCTATCCCTTTTCGGACATATTCGAGGAAACTCGAAACACATTTTTCTGGTGCCTTATTTCCACTTTCATGCTTAATTACTGTCTTCTAATCAAAGTCAAAAGTTCTTATTGATTGAAATGTCGTTCTATGTACTCAGCAATGCACCTCACCCTCAGCATCCAGGTCTTGCGGTCGTGCTAAGGTTACCTTCAAATACACATAAACCAATACTTCCCGTTCGATACCTTATTAACCAAAGGGCATCAAGACCCAAGTTTAGGAAGCCTCTTACACTTAGTTGTTTTGTGTTTTTTATACTTTGCAACTTTTTATGGTTAGCCACTTTTGTGAAATCCTATCACCCATGCACAATTTAGCGGTTTTACGACAGAGTAGGAAAAGGTAAATGGATACGTGTGTCTACTCTACGAGAAAATATCCGACGTTACCGATATACATGCTAATTGTTAGAAGAGCAATACAGGCTACATACCGTGCCCGGTCGATGTACTCACCAAACAAACTAAGGCCAAAGGTCCCAAGTCCGGTCGATGCACCAAACAAACTAAGGCCAAAGGTCCCAAGTAAACCAGAGCACTGAAGGTGCTTATGAGGAAGATGGTGGTAAAGAACCAACCGCTCCAGTTCATCCAACGTGGTGGCAATCGTCCGACAAGGGACGTGATGAAACTAGGTACGTAACTGGTGCCCTGATGGAGCTTCTCAGCGGCTACAAAATCAGGATTGATAGGATCGGTTGCCATGTCTTCATCCTCTTCCTCATCGCGGTTGGCAGACTTTGATTGGGAGGGCAACACATCCCCAGAAGATGGATCTGATCCTGGACTAGTCTCGCATGTTGGTTGCTGTGGTAAAAAGATGAGAGAAAATTGGTGAGGGAGAAAATCAAATTGAACAACAGGTTATTACGAATACTCCCACCGTGCTAATGAAGCCGAAAAAGATTAGCATGGTGTGGAACATTTACTTCCGTTGGATGATGATATGATAACCCAACGTTCATACATTGGGGTTTATTGTTCGACGCATAAGTCATCGTGGACAGCCTTCTTCAGGAGTGGAATAATCGAAAGTACAAAACACAAGAAAACAACCGACAGCTTTCTTTCAAGAGGGTAAGCCTACGCCTGCAGTTTGGGGTTGGATGTAACACATTATGCGTAAGGTTGGTTCTGACCAGACAGCCCACATGGACAGACGGTCGTTTCGGTTGACGCAAGCAGGTTAGATATGGATCACTAGAAGTCACAAACAAAAAGAGAACAGTAAAAAGTATCGCTGCTACAGGGACTGTGGTTATTGAAATACTTCGTGATTCAACCTATACATCGGACACACAAGCAGACCCATTGGGAACTTCAGAAAGTGAGAAAGTCCAATAGTATAGCAAAGCGTTTCCCAATATGAGGAAGAATATTCAGGGCGTTTCTTTGTTAGCGGTTGGTTAAGATGATACCACACACTTACCGCAGCTCGGTGAC